CCCCACCCCCAGGCGCCCGCGGGCCCCGCTCCTGCCCTGGCCCGGCTACCTGCGCAGGGTGGCGCCCGCCGGTGGGTCCCGACCCAACCCTCCCCCCCCAACAGGCCCCCTCCTTTCTCTGCATTTGGGTGGGCTGCCCTCTCCTCCTCCTCCTCCTCCTCCAAGGGAAGGGGGTCTCTGGAGACCGCTGGTGATTGGGGGGGGCCCTCCAGCCCCCGCCTGGAGCTTGGCAAGCCTTCTCTCCCGCCTCCCTCCCCCTCCCTCTGTCTCTCTGCAGCCCTCTCCACCGCCCTGGACGTGGGCCTCAGCAACTGGAGCTTCCTCTACATCACCATCTCCCTGTGAGTCCCACCATCAGTCAGTCGGTTGGGGGGGGGATGTTAGGCCCCTCGCCCTCCCACGCTGACCCCCAGTCGGCCTTCCTTCCTTCCTTCCTTCCCCGCAGCTACACGATGACCAAGTCCTCAGCCGTGCTCTTCATTCTCTTCTTTTCACTGGTCTTCAAGCTGGAGGAGCCGGTGAGTGGCGGGGGGTGGCAGCAGGAGGGGTTGGGGGCCTCCCTGCCTCTTCCTCCCTCCTTTCCTTTCCAGTTTGGTGTCGTGGTTAAGTGCGCGGACTCTAATCCCCACTCCTCCGCTTGCACCTGGCTGGATGACCTTGGGCAAGCCACAGTTCTCTCAGAGCTGTGCTTGAAAACAGAGCCCTCTCAGCCCCACCTGTCTCACAGGGTGTCTGTTGTGGGGAGGGGAAGGGAAAGGAGTTTGTGAGCTGCTCTGAGGCTCCCTCAGGTAGTGAAGGGCGGCAAGGTTTGAATCCAATCTCTTCTTCTTCTTCCCCCCCCGCAGAGGGCGGCGCTGGTGCTGGTGGTGCTGCTGGTGGCCGGCGGCCTCTTCCTCTTCACCTACCGGGCAACGCAGTTCGAGGCAGAGGGCTTCCTGCTGGTGCTGGGGGCCTCCTTCTTGGGCGGCGTCCGCTGGACCCTCACACAGATGCTCCTGCAGAAGGAGGAGTTGGGTGCGTGGCCGAGCAGGGTGGGAGGGGCCCGGTGCTCCTGGTGTGTGTGTGCGTGTCCCCCCCCCCGGCCTCTCCCACCCCCTGCCTTCTCTTCCCCTTCTTCCCCCCCACAGGGCTCCAGAATCCCATCGACACCATGTTCCACCTCCAGCCGGTCATGTTCCTCGGCCTCTTCCCGCTCTTTGCTGCCTTTGAAGGTAAGGGCCCGTCTGTGCATGGAGGGCCTTGGAAAAACCTTTCCCCAGGTCCCCCGCTGGCTGGCTGGCTGGCTGGCTGGCTGGCTGGCTTTCCTCCAGCAGGGGAAGGGGAGGGAGATCTGCCCGGGGCAGAAGCAGACCGGAGAGCGGGGCGTCACTGACAGCTCCTTTCTCTCCTGCTGTCTGGAACACTGGGAGGAAGCGAGATGGCAGCGTTTGCCCCCGGCACCGGCTCCAGGTAGACTGCAGAGAAATCAAGAGAGGCACTGGTCCTCCGGGTTACTTGCCCTTGTCAACAGGAGTCTGCAGTTGGAGCGGCCAGTGGCTGCACCCCCAGGAGGCGGCTCTGCCTGTGTCTCCTTTTCGTGGGAAGTAAGAAAAGCGGCTGCGAGGCCTTTGAGGAGCTCCCAGAAGCAGGGAGCAATTTCCGGCCTCCCCGTCCTCCGTTTCCAGATCCTCTGAGCTCCCGTGAGCTGCACTGGCCCGCAGGGAGCCAAAGTGCCGACCAGCCATCTCCCCACAAGCAAACAAGGCGTGTTGGTTTATCTGCGTCTGGAACCCATTTGTAAACGTCTGCATTCTCGAGCAGCCACAGGATGGGCAGGCGTCGGTCTTGAGAGCTCCGCTGTGAACTCTTTTTATAAAACGATATCACTCTGTCAGAAGCGGCAGAAAAAATTATTTTGGGGGGATTCCCCCTCCACATCAGCTTACAGAAGAGAAAGAGCATTTCATGCATATGGGGAGCGGTCTCCTAGTGACTGGGGGGGGGCTCCCCCCTCCCCTCCTCCCTTTGGCTCCTTTGAGCAGGAAGCACTATGGAGTTTTCAGGAGTGGCCAAAAACGTTTTCCGACGTGCTCAGGCCACATTCCTGTTTTCTCCAGCAGATGTGGTGTCAGTCACCACTAGGTGTCCTCTCCAGCTCCCACCCACCCAGAGCAGCGTCCTCTGATTTAGAAAGAGACGGTCTGTTTTCTTTCCTTGTGCACCTTTTGACCCTGGTCGCTGTGCGAGGGACGGGCGTCCCGGGAGCTGAACTGCGGCTTGCCTTGCAGTTCCGGCCATGCCCTGGTTTCCTTCTGACTGAGGCCCAGGGTGGCTTGCCCCGTCCGAGGGGGAGAGGCCCTGCTCTCGGGCTTTCTGCTTTAAGATACCTGATAGTCGGGGAGGGGGGCAGTGTGGGGAGTGGAGAGAGGTGAGCGTGCAGGTTGGAGTTCCGGGGCAGTTGGGCCAGGGGCGTCTTCCCTTCCTGGGAGTCCTTGCTTGGAGGAAGGCAGTGGAAACACATCCCACGGGCCCCCTTCCTGGCAGAGCCCCCCCCCC